GAGAGAGAGAGAGAGAGAGAGAGAGAGAGAGAGAGAGAGAGAGAGAGAGAGAGAGAGAAACCTGCTTCACCGGTCGCCCTTCTCCCTGCACTGGTCGCTGGAAAATGGAGCCCCGAAATCCCACCCCAATGGTTCAAAGAAAAAATGTCGATGAGGAAGTGTGTGTGTGTGTGTGTGTGTGTGTGTGTGTGTGTGTGTGTGTGAGAGAGAGAGAGAGAGAGAGAAGGATGACGGCGAGAAAGGATGGCGGAGTTGACAACAACGCGGAGGAAGGTGAGAAAGAAAAGCGCGGTGGGGTTGAGGAGGGGGAGGAGGACGATGACAATGAGGTAGTGTGTGTCTAGTAGTAGTAGTAGGATGTCGACGAGGAAGTGTGTGTGTGTGTGTGTGTGTGAGAGAGAGAGAGAGAGAGAGAGAGAGAGAGAGAGAGAGAGAGAGAGAAACCTGCTTCACCGGTCGCCCTGCTCCCTACGCTGGTCGCTGGAAAATGGAGCCCCGAAATCCCACCCCATTGGTTCAAAGAAAAAAAACAGGCAACAAAACCAAATCCCCTCGTGGACTTTCCGGGCCTTCTGGATCATTCGTGAGGGTGGTAAAAATTAAGGCATTATTTTTTGGGGCGGCCTGGGACTTTAACAAATGCCCTGGACGGCTAAAAAAAAATTGGCCGTTGAGCTGGGGCCCTCGCATCTTCTGATGTGTTCTGCTCATCTCAGATGCATCCAGGATGTCTAGTTCAGCCTGTCAGTGCGGTGGATGTGGATGACTTTGTGAGTCATTACTTAGTCCGATTTGGTGTCACCTGTAAAGCACCCAGTTCATGTACAGGGGGAGAACGTTTGCCTACTCCAAAAATTGGAGAATGTGAACGTAAGAAATAAAAGAAAGAAATCTGAAAAATCTGAAAAATCCTGTGCTGGTCCCCGGGCCGCCCGACGACCCGGTGGTCGCCCGGCGGGGGGGCCGGACCGCCTGGCCGGTTGTTCCGCCCGGTTGGCCACCGGGCAAGGCCAGCGCATCTCGGGGGGGGTGGGGGGGTGGGGGGTTCGGTCTTTTTCGACGCGGGGGCCCTTCTTCCCGCCAAAAGGGGCTGTCCAGGCCATCACAGTGTGAAGAAAAGGGCCGGTATGCCTGATTATGAGAATTTGAAATCGTGGCCCATCTGCGCCGTCGATCTCCAGGATCGACGGCCCAGATGGGCCGTGATTTCAAATTCTCGAAATCGGGCGGGAACCACCGCGGCCCTCGTCCCCTCCCCCGTCACCTCTCCCGCCCGACGCCACACTTCGCCCGACGGCACACTTCGCCCGATGCCTCGACTCTACGGGAGCTCCGCCAACGCCTGCGAACGCCATCGAGCCCGCCGACGCCCGCCATCGCGCTGCCGCGCCAAGGTAAGTGGGTTAGTAGTAGTAGAGAGAGAGAGAGAAAACTCTTCTTCTTCTTCTTCTTCTTCCTCTTCTTCTTCGTCGCATATTTTTCTTCTTCTTCTTCTTCTTCTTCTTCTTCTCCTCCTCCTCCGCTTCTTCTCCTTCTTCTCCTCCTCCTTCGCTTCTTCTCCTTCTTCTTCTCCTCCTCCGTCGCTTCTTCTTCTTCTTCTTCTTCTTCTTCTTCTTCTTCTCGTCCTCGTCCTCCTCCCCCTCCCCCTC